GTGTTTTGATGTCATTATGTTTCATGTTTAAGTCCTCTTTGGTAGTCTTACGTTGATTTTCTAGTGCCTAGTTTGTTTCTGTTTAGATTTTTATTATTTAGTATTCCTCCCTTGTGTCTTTGCCCTCTATGTCTCCCTCTGTGTGGCTGTGATTGTCTTTGTTGTGAGTTCTTGAGACTTGCTTCCCTCGTGTTTCATTCTGTTCCCTGTCATGTTATCCATATTTCCTCAGTCATGTCTCCGTGTGTCTGTCTGCGCCTCTGTGTGTGCGTTCCCGTTACTCCCTGTTTTACTTTTTCTTTTTTTACATTACGTCATATCTCTCTCTGGGATGAGTGCCGGTTTGCCTCCTGAGATGAGTAGGCACCCTGAGAGCAGGCGGCGCCGGTTCAAATCATGCCTATGGCCATTGCCGCATGTCTTCCCCGCTCTCTCTCCCTCTGCTTCCTTTCAAATAAAGCCGTCTTCAGCAGACAGTTCAGCTTCTTCACCTCTTTTCAGCAGATAGTTCCTTCTTCTGCTGTTTTCAGCAACACTTCCACTACATTTCTGCTACATGGCATTCACACACCATTTTCGCAGGAAATAAAACTTTTTCTAGTACACATCTATAGTTTGTTTTCATTGCATGTGTGGATTGGATGGGTTGTTAATGAGATCTGGTGGGAATTCTATATCAGTAGTACCTTTAGAAATGTGATTACTTAGAAAATTAAAACTTATACACTCCCAGTCAAAAGTTTGGACACACCTTCACACCTTCTGTACTCTAATTCTCACAAGACAAAATAGAATAGAATAGAATAGAATAGCCATTTATTGTCATTGTACATGTACAATGAAATTGTGGGTGCTCCATACCAGCTATCCCAGAATAAAGTCTAAATAGTAGACAACAGGAATAAATAGCAAACAGGAGAAATATATACAATCAAGATGAATATATGCAAAATACCATTAAAACACAAAGGCACACATTAGATTAGTTACAAAGTTACAAGTTAAAAAGTGCTTGGAAGTAGTGCAAAGAAAAGATACAGTCTGAACAGAGTCAGTTTGGTTTGCTATGTAATTTTCATGTGTAATTTGCACCACAAATTACACATTAGTTCTGGTTTTGAAGAAAATAAATCATGCTGTGCGAGTCAAGTCTGCTCTTCAACACTACTGAAGAACAAAATGTTACGGTCCCTCAACTTAACATTTCCCTGAACTGCAGAACTTGTGGTGTTTTAGGCAGTTTTTGCAGTACATATTAAACCATAGAGAGTCAAAAAAAAGGAAGTGAACAAACATTGTAGCAGGAGATGAAAAAAGATCATAAAAGATCAAGATGAAATTGGTGTCACAGGAAGTGTTTTCTGTGTTAACCAATCGGACGCATTTTATGGTCTAACCCAGTGTGCTCATTTCCCTTTCTTAACTTACTGAAAAACCCTAAGGTGCATTTTCAAGATGGTCATCTTATGGATTACATTGCTTTTTCTTCATCGAGGAAGTAAGGGGGATTTGTTTCTGTTTGTTTGTTTTTTGTTTTATCTGGCTATCTGACCAAACTGAATGTGTTATATATGTTTAATAGATTCATATAAATTGTGTAGACATAGAGATAATAACATAAAAACTAAATGTTTTTACTTCATGAAAAAAACTCTGTTTTCTTTTACCGCAGATTCTCTGGTTCCAGTGAAAACAGTTCATGTTGGTGAAACAGCAACATTAACATGTGTTTTACCAAATGAAGAGCTCGGCAGCAGAAAGGTTCAGTGGTACAAGCAGAGAGTCGGAGATACTCTTAAATTATTAGTGTCACTTCCTGGAAAACCTTCAGATTTTCTTCAGTCAAGATTTTCTGCACATAACAGTAAAGATTTCAGCAACCTGACCATTTGGAATGTCGTCCAAGAGGATGAGGGGATGTATCACTGTGGAATAGACACCTGGACTAAACTTGAGTGGAGTGGGACATATTTGTTAGTAAAAGGTAATGAACTGACCAACTTTTACAAACTTTTTAAATGCCTCTGAGAATGTGGTGAATAATTTACTTGTATTACATTTTGTATTACACAGGAAACACTGAAAGGACATCAAACTATATTGTTGTACAGCAGCCGACAGAATCAAATCCACTCCGTCCAGGAGACACAGCAACTCTTCAGTGTTCAGTTCTGACAAATTCTGAGAAAAACACATGTTCAGGACATCATAATGTTTTCTGGTTCAGAGATGGATCTAATAAATCTCATCCAAACATAATCTACACTCATGGAAACAGAACTGATCAATGTGAACAAAGATCTGACCCTCAGGATGGATGTGTTTATCGCTTCTCTAAGACCGTCAGCTCCTCTGATGCTGGGACATTGGGATACTGTGCGGTGGCCACATGTGGAGAGATATTATTGGGAACTGGAACTAAACTGGATGTTCAAGGTAACTGTGCCACTGATTTTTAAATCAAGATATATAATATACATAAATCAGATAATATTTATATTTAAGTACCAGTAATTAATCCAATTTTTTATTTCATAACTGTAATCTTACTATTAGGCAACTCTAATTTTGTTTTCTCACTTTTACTATTGTTGCAGAACGCAGTGCGTCATCACTGACAGCCAGTACAGTTGTTTTTGTGTTTTGTGCTGTCATGGGTATAAATCTCATTGTTACTGCTGTCCTCATTTACTTAACCAAAAAAGCCAACAGCAGTGATCACAAAGGTAATTGAAGTTACTCACAGTTCACTATAAACAAAATAAAAGATTCTTAAATTGATATTAACTTGTTGTCTTTCTGTACTACGATCAAGCTCCTGTCCTGCAGAAAAACCTTAGTGATCAGAAAAGACAACAGGTGAAGTATTAAATACTAGGATTGTTCTCACAAATATGAAAATTAAAAATAAATATTAAAGGTTAGTAAGCATTTTTACATTTTTGAATATTTTCCATTTACATTTCCCAGATTAAGGACACACAGATGTTTTCTGCTGTTGTCTTTGCCGTGATGGAAGCTGATATTCGCAACAAAAAGGATGCAAAGGCAGCAGAGAAGCAGCAGATCTACACAGCCATCAAAGCTTTTGGGCTGGATTAGATCTACTTACTGTTGCTTGGTATGAAACAATCAACAGTAGAGGATGTTTTCATCTTATAGATAATATGCTTTCATATGTTGACATTTTGCTGTAGTTCTGTACAAATAAATTTGCATACACATCTAAGCTGCAAGATTCCTATAGTGTAGTCTTATCAAGAATGTCAGTTGCTTTTCTTTGTCTTATTTACAATCTTATGTGCTGTCTTTCATGAAGCCCAAATAAATAAATAAATCTTCTAAACACATCAAAGCAATTATGTTAAAAATTGACATATTTTCCATGGGTGTGATTAAATGGGCGCCAACATCCTTCCCCTGCCTTCTTACCTCACATTTCCCATTACTAAGTGTTTTATTTTCTTTTTAATTAACATTTTTGTAAATTACTGAAAGGTTGTTGTAAAGTATTAATGTAAATATCATTACATTTTTAGGGTGATATTCATAACCGAGGAAAATTTAGCCAGTAGCCTAAAGTATTCTCATTCTGATTCTCCCCTCAAATTTGACTGAAAGGTCATTTAATTTCAGATCAGCTCTTTTATTTTTAACCTTTTCTGCTTGACTATCTCTGATTTGCATAACAATGTTTCATCTTTTGGCACAAAACAATTGATGTGAAATTTCTGAAATCAAACACCTGTGTTGTAAACAAAAATCTGTTAAAACTTCAATGGATACAGAATTTAAATATTATGTAAAAAAGGTATTTTGAGACTGAAACACATTTAATCTCCACTGTTGAAAAAACAACAACATTAAAATATCTGCATAGAGACTGTAATAATATAAAACTATTAATGAAATGGTTTTGTCGTGGTGTCTGTGTTAAAGACAGTCTTTATGTACTGTAATCAGTGTTTATGTGGAAATAAAAATCTGATTGTGTTACCCTGCATATCCTTGATAGATGAGAGACCAGCATTTGCCTTTTTCTTTGCATGCTAAACCTTTTAACCAAACTTGACTCTTCCCTTTTTAACTTCATCCAACACTGCTCTGAGTTCTAACAGTTGTTTTTTTGTCTTTTAATTAAAAGGTTACAAAGCCCTGCTTGGCTTAACATATGCACTGCATAGTTCTTCTAATATATTATAAATAATAATAATAACAATAAAGACACTGATGCTTCTCGCACCTCTGTCTATGCCTGTGTTAATTGTATGTTGTAATAATTATATATACAGCATTCAAGAAGTTTTCACAGGGTATCACTTGTTCCACATCTGTTACATTGTCATGTTAACATAGTCTGTCTAATATATTATATACAATAATGATAGACACTGGTGCAAAAGCACAATAACAAAAAATACAAATCTAAAGGTAACAGTAATGTCTGATAATAGACTTTTATACTTCAGGTAGAGTTTACAGGCATATACAAAATTTTATGGCACAAAATATAACATACAACAACAACAAAAAGATACGGTGACAATATGACACGATGGTTATATGAAAAAAATATATATTATAGTCAACTTGTCAATTTGTATGTTTCAGACAGTCATATATCCTTCTGTCGGTCTCGCAGCTACAGCTTGTGAGCTCTGCAAAAAATGAGTCATCCAGAGCATGTATTGTGCTCAGACGTGGATTTTCCATCAATGAAAAAGTCAATATTAGTATGAAGGGGAATAATTTCACAATGACTATTATAAATTCAGTAAAACAGTCCTTGATTGGTCTTTACAAGGTATTCTTTGATATTCAGGTGCCCAAACTCCTGGATGCTCTAAAGCTAAGAAAACAAAAAAGCAAGAAAAATCTTCAGTGTCTGCATAAAATAAGATAAATAACAACAATAATAATAATCATTTTAAAGTGGTTTTTATCCCTCTTTTGTCCTCAGGTGTTTTTTGTTTACCTGTTTACAAGATTTAAAAGCATGAAATTAGTCTGACACTAATTTCAGAATTGACAGTTTTGTTTTTTGTTTTTGTTTTCATCTGACATGATATTGTTAAGTACATGGATTAGAAGAAGCCTTAGCTTACTATGCAATTTCCTGAGAGGTGAAAAATGATGAAAGGAAACAGTAAAGGATCCTGCCACACAAGTGGTGTCCTCTTTTACGCTCAATAACTGTAACATTAAAACCACTGACACTGAAACCAGGTCCTGGCATTTGTGTAAATATTACAGTGATACGTATCAGCAAACTAAACACTTTTGAAGCACAAGCAAACCTCTCATGGCAAAGTCAGTCACCAATTTCAGCAGCCTCACCTAGAAGAACAAAACCCGTCTCCACAAAAGCTGCAGACAGCTCAGATAGAGTACGACATTTTGCCCAGCCTTCAGACTCAAGCGTTCACAGGATGCACTGGAACAAGCCACAAATAAACCATAATAAACCAGGACCAAGGAGGAGATGGCTGAAAGACAGGGACATCTGGTTGCCTCCATTCAATTCAACACAATTCAGATTTGTTAACATAGTGTCAAACCACAACAACAGTTGCCTAAATGCACTTTATATTTAATGTAAAGACCCTATGATAATACAAAGAGAACAGAGAGCATCATATGTCATATGTCTGATCCAGCCCTAACCATATCCTTTATTTTAGCAAAAAGGAAAGTTTGAAGCCTAATCTTGAAAGTAGAGATAGTGTCTGTCTCCTGAATCCAAACTGGAAGCTGGTTCCACAGAAGAGGGGCCTGAAAACTGAAGGCTCTGCCTCCCATTCTACTTTTAAATACTCTAGGAACCATAAGTAAGCCTGCAGTGTGATAGGGCTGATATGGTACTATAAGGTCACTGAAGGGCCCTGATTATTCATGAGCTTGTATGTGAGGAGCAGGATTTTAAATTTGATTCTGGATTTAACAAGCAGGAAGAGAAGTCAATACAGGAGAAATGTGCTCTCGCTTTCAAGTCCCTGTCAGTAATCTTTCTACATCATTTTGAATCAACTGAAGATAATTATGAATTACAGTAGTCCAACCTAGAAGTAATCAATGCATGAACTATTTCTTCAGCATCACTGTAAGCAGTGTAGTGGCAGAAAAGGAAAGGATGAATGGATGCACTGATGCACCCAGATAATTTGAACAATAATATAACAGCCTTATTTAGAAGCTAAACCAGTAAGTACTTTTTAGAAAGAGGCAGTAACACGTTTTCTACAGAAACAGAGAAATTTTGACATGACTGCTGCATGTACATTAACTGTTTATGTATGAAAACAAAAATGTTGCACTTGTTAGGAGCACATCAAAAAGCTAAGAATGGCCAGTATAGTTTAACCGAATCATTGTATCCTTTTTCATTTCACAGTGCAGTGGTATTTGTGCGTTAGTGCCTGTGAAAGAACAAGCAAAGCCACATGTGGCAGTTAAACTGTGAGATACAGGCTGCGGCTAGCTACTTCTCTGCAAACCTGTTTACTCCGAACACACAAGTATTATATTATCTACAGGATGTGTAGCCAGTTCACAGTGTTAGGACTTTCATTTCTACTTGCTGATTGGGTGCAGGCACCACAGCTAGGTCGCGGTTACAAAAAGATCAAATACAATAGTTTAACTCAAAAGACGTGGACAGTCCTCTCTCACGTATGCCTTAACAAATGTGTCACAGCACACATGCAACATGCCACACATAGCACACGAGGACACTTTGTATGCAGCTGTCTGCACCAGTAGCTTTCAGAATATGATATTAAATGGCACCCTAGCCTTCCTCTCTGATAGATTCTCAAACCCATTAATTAGGGCAGGCACAATTCAGTTATGAGTACAAAACAGGAAGCGATGCTTTATGTAGATTTAGAGTTTTTGGAAATCCTGATAAGGTTTGCAAACAATAACCCCCGTGCACAGAAACTAAAAGTCAAAAGAGAAAAAAAAATCCTGTACGGATTCAAACCAGGTAACAACATCACTGCTGAATTTTCCAAACAAAAAGCAAGGAATCAGCCATAAATTACTTTTGTATTAGTTACTTGTTTATGATTTTACCTCATTAACATTACTTCTGCTTCTACCTCAAAAACTGGTTCTACGATTAAAATGGATAGATAAAAGAAATGATGAATACTCTTATTTGGTGCTGTCTTATGAGCTAAAGTGAGCTAAAGTCATTGAACAATATACATCCAATCAAATGTGTCGGTCTATCAGTTAAACCAATAAATGAATAATAAATGAAGACATTTTGAGTTTACAGATTATCTGTACTGTTTATTCATTCTAAGGTCTGTCAGCAAAATTGTGCCAGTTTAGTGTTTTATTCTAGATGTTTATGTACTTTGTTGCAGCGGTTATCATAATTTATCTTATCTTATATTGGATGGTAATGAAAAAGAAACTTTGTCCTTGGAGCTTTTGCCAGTTGTCCACTGGGCTGGTTTTGAATGAGGATAAATTTTCATATTTTGGCGCCACTGCTGTTTCTTCCACCTATTTCATGTGTTTCTATAAGTACTATGTAAATGCATTTTTACACTGCAAGATATTGGCCAAGACATGGACACGTTATGTCATAGATTTTCCACTGAAGCAGGAGCTGAACGTAGGAGACACACCTTAGTATTAATCCTGGAAATGCTGCAAAGATGTCTGGCATTTCTTCTTGACAAAACTGAGGTAACCAAAGTGGATGGATAGAATTTTATTACTTAAGTAATAAACTTAAGATAATTAAGTGTCTGCTGCTGTTTTCTATGAAATGCTCTACAACTTGCATATTAGTTCTGTCTTTGAAGAAGCTAAACTATTTAGTATTTGTTCATCCTGCTCTTCAGCTCTTCCGAAGAACAACACGACATGGCCTTGCACCAATGAAACATGCAGGTTGCAAATTTTCTCTAAAGTGCAGAGTATAATGTATTTGAGATATTTCTTGCAGCAAGTAGTACAACCAGGAATAGAACTGCATTTTACTGTTTCTGTGGTTAACGTCTGAGAGCATGAATTCCTATCAGATAGTCAAATGTGAAAATTGACTAATCTGAAATATTCAGAAAACAAGAAAAAGAGTTTTTTCTAAAACAAAAATTCTAAATATGTTTTAGAACGTTCGTGTGGGGAGGTAAGTACACATCCAGTGTGACAGGAAGTGTACTTTTAAGCCTGTTCTATGTTAACCAATCAAATACATTTTATAGTCTAACCCAACATGTACAGTTCTCCTCTTAGACCTGCTGAAACACCACAACAGAAGAGGAGTGTCAAGATGATCATATTATGGGCGGCATTGCTTTTTCTCCATCAAGGCTGTAAGTGCGTTTTTATTCTGATTATATGTCTGAAATATAATTATTTATGTTGAATAGATTTGTATGTGTATATACAATAACAAGAGTATTTTTCAATTTTACATTTTTTTCCCCTCATGATTTTTTTTTCTATGTTTTGTTTTCACTCAGATTCTCTGGTTCCAGTGAAAACCGCTCATCTTGGTGAAGCAGCAACTT